TTTGGAGAGGTTTTTGCTATAGGGCACGTGCGCTCGCCAGACAGACAGAGAGAGACAGAGAGATAGAAAGCGAGAAATCACCCTCCAGGGGGGATGGCCACACCGCAATCCCTTCTCCTCCATTCTCCTCTTGGGATCTTGGGCACGCATGCACACGTACCTGGCATGAGTTTAAGCCACCGGGTCCAGGACTCGAACCGCAGTCGACTACATGGGAGTCCAGCAACATAGCCATTATGCTGACTGCTGGCCCCTCAAACATTATCTTTAAAATTCAGGGTTTTTTTTCTTTTTTTTTGGAGATGTTTTCGCTATAGGGCACGTGCTCTCGCCAGAAAGACAGAGAGAGACAGAGAGATAGAAAGTGAGAAATCACCCCCAAAGGGGATGGCCACACCACAATCCCTTCTTCTCCATTCTCCTCTTGGGATCTTGGGCACGCACACACACGCACCTGGCATGAATTTAAGCCACCGGGTCCAGGACTCGAACCATGGTCGACTACATTGGAGTCCAGCGACACAGCCATTACGCTAACTGCTGGTCCCAGTTTTTTGAAATTTTGAAAGTTGTTTATTAACTGTCAAGAACTATGGAGTGTGAGCAAAAATTTTTTGATATGTTAAGTAAATGTTTGTGGGAAAATGTAAAAGTAAATAAATGATTTTAAAAAAATAACAATATGGGCCAGTGGGTAGTATAGTGGTTGAGGCACTGAACTCCCAGATGGCCAACTGTGGTTCAAGTTCTGGACCCGGTGGTTTAAAACTGACACCAGGCATGTGTATGTGCATGCCCAAAATCCTGAGAGGAGACTGGAGGAGAAGGGACTGAGACATGGTCATCACCCCCCAGGGGGCGATTTTTCACTTTCTCTCTGTCTCTCTGGTAAGCACACATGCCCTATAACAAATCTCTCTCAAATGATAATAAAGTAAATTGAATAAATAAATATTTGTTTTAAAAAACCACATACTACATGACTTCATGTATATGACTATCTAGAAATGATAAATCTCTAAATACAGAAAATAGATTAGAGGTTGTCAGGGTGGACGAGATTAGAAGGAACAGAGGTAACTACTAAAGGGCACAGTTCTGTTGGACGTGAGGGGGACCTGGCTGAGCATCCGTCACCCCACCGAACACCAGGGTTGATCAGCTGATCTGGCCAGATAGGCAGGCGTCACCTTCCTCCTTCGCTGCTGCTCCGAGCACATCCCACTGCGGCTGTGCGCTCAGAGAGGATGCCTTCCCCAGCAGAGGAGGCCCCTCTTCAGTCAGGATGCGAGTAGCTGCACTCCCCTCCTCGAACGTGCAAACAAGCCCTCCAGGTTGCAGTGCTGTGATGGTAGCACAACGGACTTTAGTCAAAACCATTAGTTATACACTGTAAATAGTGCGTTGTATGGTGTGTGAATTGGAGCCCAGAAAATACTAGATTAAGATACTTCTAAGCTAATCTCTTTGTTTCTTTTGATTTCTGAAGGATCTTGAGGAAGAGTTAGACATGAAAGACAGAATGATTAAAAAGTTACAAGATCAAGTCAAAACTCTGACCAAGACTATTGAAAAAGGTAGGAAGAGTTTTGATGCCCACTTTCTCGCTCCCTTGAGCTTTCCGCTAAGGTCGGCATATGTTGAAGTATTTATTTCCTATCTGGTCAGACCTACGAACCAACCCCAAAGGGGCAATTCTCAACTGGTAAGGTTTGGGACCTAGTGATGGGCCCCTTAAAGGTCTGGGCAGGGATGCAGAGGTAAAATGTGACACTGCAAGGCTGAGGTTCTGGATTTGGGTCCAGGGACCTCCCTGAGTATTCTGGTTCATGCATGCCCATAGTCTGGGGTTGGCTGAGACTGGGAGTAAATTGTGGCATCAAGACCCTGTTGGAGGTGCTGTTCTGTGTCTGTCAGTCTGTCTGTCTCTCTCACTTACAGAAGAAATAAATAAATACACTTTTAAAAAATCCTTTGAAGCCGGAAGACAGCTTAGATAACACAGACATGCTCACGTCTTTGCAGAGGACATCCTGTGCCAACGCCTTTTAACTTCTTCCTCTATAAGGTCTCCTTTTTAAAAAATTAAGTGGTGGGGACCAGCAGATGGCGAAATGGTTATGTTGCTGGACTCCCACATGGCCGACCACAGTTTGAGTCCCAGACCCAGTGGCTTGAAAATCACACTGGGAATGTGTGCTTGTGTGCCCAGGGTCCAAGGAGGAAAATGGGGGAGAAGGGATTGCAGTGTGGCCATCCTCCCCTGGGGGGTGATCTTTCATTTTCTTTCTCACTGTCTCTCACTCTCTGGTGAGCGTAGGTGTCCTATGGCAAAAACTTCTAAAAAAAAAAAAAAAATTAAACTGAATAAGTTTCAAAGTTTCCTACTTTGAAATTCACCTTCTCTCTCCGTGACATGTATAGGACCAGAAAGTATTTCAGTTTCTATCAGAAGGCAGAAATAGAGAACTGAGGACCAGAAATCCCATGGACTGGCCTTCACCCTACAGCCTCCTCATGGCTGCCAGGGAAAGGACCCTCAGCCTCCCCTTCTCTTCCGAGTCCCTTAGCCTGGCCCTGCCTCCTCCCACTCTCTACTTCCTTTACTCTTCTGTTCTTTATTACGTTTTCCTCCCTCCTTTCACATTTACTTCTAAGGCTATATCTTCTGTGTTTTTTCTATATTCATTTCTTTATAGCGGTCCTTTATTCTTATTTATTCAGCTCTCACCTCAAATTTTAAGTGTCTAAATCCAATCTGATGAGCATTTCCCTTCAACGGTAAACAACAAATGTGGCTGCCCCAGGAGAGCAGGGGCTGTTTTGTCTTCATAACCCCCATTGTGTCCCCACCTTTGGAATGAATGAACCGCCATCTCTGCAGGACTACCAAAATCCACCTTCAGTCTTCCTTTTTCCTAAGTCTCAGATCCTTTTTGTCTTTTTTTAAAAAAACAAACAAACAAACAAAAAACTATGGTCTTGTTCTTTTCATTTTTTTAAGTATTTATTGTTTTATTTATTTATTTACTTCCAGAGAGTACATGTTTATTTATTTACTTGCCAGAGAGAGACGGAGAGAAAGAAAGGGAAAGTGAGAAAACACCTTGGTGAGGATATCTGTGCCACAATCCCTTCTCCTCCATCTTTCCCTCCTTTGGGAAATTTGGGCACACATGCACACGGGCCCTCCATGTTTTTCAAGCCAGTGAGTCAAGACCTTAAACTGCACAGTCAGCCATGTGGAATCCAGCTTCCTTACCATTATGCCACCAGCTGACCCTTTAAGATTCTGCTTCCTTGGGACCAGCAGTTGGCGTAATGGCTATGTCGCTGGACTCCCATGTAGTCGACATGGTTCGTGTCCCGGACCCGGTGGCTTAAAACTCAACACCGGGCGCGTGTGCATGCGTGCCCAAGATTCCGAGAGGAGACTGGAGGAGAAGGGATTGCGGCGTTGCCATCCCCCCTGGCTTTCTGTCTCTCTGGCGAGTGCACGTGCCCTATAGCAAAAACCTCTCCAAAAGAAAAAATAAAAGATTCTACTTCCTTTGCCTTTCTTTTCTCTCTTTTTAAAATTTTTCCAGAAGGCTATGTGCACTTGCTTCAGAGAAACAGAGAGAAAGAGAAAAAACAAGAAAGTACCATGCCATGGGAGATAGTCATGCTGCAATCCTTTCTCCTCATTTCTCTCTCCTCTCAGAATTTGAGACATACATACATACATGTACCTGGCATACTTTTCAAGGTTCTGGGTTCAGGACTTGAACCACATGGTCAGCCATGTGGGATCCAGGTACTTTAACCACCAGACTTCAGGCCAGTCCTCCTTTGCCCTTCTATCATTACTTCCAATTCAAAATGTCTGAATCAGAACTCATCACTATATGAGCATGTTCTTGTGCTGACTCGGTTATCTGTTATTGTGTAACAAAGCTCTCCAGAGCTTAGCAACTTAACACAACAAACATTTAATGGTAGAGTCTCGGGGTCAAGAAATCGGGAACAGTTTAGCTGGGTAGTTCTAGCCCAGCCTTCAGACTTCTGACCTAAAGATAAAATTTTGTGTTGTTTTAAGTCAATTAAGTTTGTGGCAACCTTTTGAATAGCCATGGGAAATTGATATAGACCCCTTTGTTGGGATCGTGCGGTTTGGTACTGTACACACCAAGTGTTCTGTGAGTCTTGCTTCATTCACTATAGTATCAGCATCTTGAAGATGGGGCGCCATCTTGGATTTCCTTCACATCCCCAGTATGGTCATGCATAAGGCTTCCTTCAAGGATAGTTGAGCCCTCTCAGTAGCCACGCTGCCCACAGATAGGAGCTACTACTCCCAGAAATTCTTCAGGCTACAAAGACATTTCAGTGTGTCCCAAAGCCTCAGAAGTTCATGTGCAAATCAGCTGGACTGGGATGGGAGGCAGAGCAGTGTCCTTATGAATCTGTGGAAGTGGCCGTGTGTTTCACTGATTGTTTACCTCTGTCTACAGCCAACGATGTGCACTCCCCCTCAGGACCCAAGGAGTACCTTGGAATGCTGGAGTACAAGAGAGAAGACGAGGCCAAGCTCGTTCAAAACCTCATTCTCGGTAGTTGAACCTGGAGCTCTGAAGTTCTGCTTTGTCTTTGAGAACTTGAATGGCAGCTAAGGTCCTAGGCAGGGGAAGGCCCTTCTCTGCCTCTCTTTTCCTTTATCAGTTCTCCTTACCTAGAGTTTCTCAGCCTCCGTGTGTTTGAGGAGATAATTCCTTGCTGTGGGGAGCGGGATGCACATTGCAGGATATTGAGCAGCATCCTCTTCGTTTTCTTGTTTTCTTTTTTTTTTTCTTAAAGAATTTTTTTAAGTTTTATTTATTTATTTTTAAATAATTATTTTATTTAACTTTATTTATTTGTTTTAACTTGATGAGAGAGGGACAGAGCGAGTGAGAGAGAGAGAGAGGGAAAGTGAGAGAGCAAGCTGCCAGGTCCAATATTTGAACCACAGTCGGCCAAGTAGGAGTCCAGCGCTCTTAACCACCACACCACCTGCTGGCCCCGTCTTCTCACTTTTAATTGACCCGCAGTAACTGTATGTGGGGCCCAGTGTGTTGTTTCAGTATGTGTGGACACTGAGTAAGAATCTAGTCAGGGTATCTAGCATATCCATCAGCTCAAGCATTTATTGTTTCATCATTTCTTTGTAGTAAGAACACTCAAATCCTCTGTTTTAGCTATTCTAAAATATGCAATACAATATCGTTAACCACAGTCATCTATTGTGCAAGAGGACACCAGAACTTAGTCCTCCTAACTCTTTAACTGTAGCCTTCGATCCCTCTCTCTCTATCCTCCCTCCTTCTGTAGCCTCTGGAAACCACTATTCTACTTTCTGCTTCTACGAAATCACCTTCTTTAGGCTCCGCTTATGGGTGAGATCATGCTGCATTTGTCTCTCCGTGGCTGGCTTATTTCCCTTAACGTGCTGTCCTCCAGGTTCGTCCATGTTGCCTGCATTCACAGGATTTCGCTGTTCATACCTGACTAGTTTTTGGTGCTCACACACGCGTCACGTATTCTCTCCCCATTCACTTGCTGATGGACGCTCAGGCTGAGTCCACATCTTGGCTGTTGTGAATGGTGCTGCAGGGAACGAGCTCGCACGTATCTCTTCAAGATAATGATTTCATTTCCTTGGATATTTACAAAGTAGCGGGATTGCTGGATCTTATGGAAGCTCTGTTTTTAATCTTGGGAGGACCGCCATGCCATGCTCCATGGTGGCTGTAGTAATTTACATTCTACCAGCAGCAATAAGGGGCCCCGGGGTTTGTCCTGTCAGCATGCCTTACTTTTCATCTTTTTGATGATAGCCATCCTAGTGGGGTGAGGTGATATCCCACTGTGGTTTTGACTTTATTTCCTTGACTTTCACCCACTAGAAGTGGCAGCAACTTTTTATGACCAAAACAAAAAGCCAAATGTTACTACCTACCCCTGAAGAGTCGAGATTATCCACAGTTAAGAAGCAGCGTCCTAACTTGTCTCGAGTGTAATCATATGGTCAGGACAGAAAACACACCTCCTCATCTTTATGTCTCAGTATGTAATAGAAGTACTGGGTTGTCAGAAAACTCGTGACACATTTTTACATAGAGAAACAGAAAAAGACGTATGACCTTTCTGACGACCCAATAATTGTGGCTCTGTGTTCCATTTGGCTCCTCTGAGGAACGTATTTGCAGGCCATGTGACGGGGCTCCCAGCCATACCTCATTTACAGAAATGTCCAGAAATGCTTGCTGAAGGATTAGCGGTCTTAGAACTGATCTTCTCATCCTCACTGGGACCCTCCACGTGGTCTTCCAGAGGGAGGGAGAGAAACTGCCTCCTTATCAGATGGTCCAAGATCTCGAAACAGAAAGCCAATGTGTAGCCTTACCCCCTCCTCTTCTGAGTGCCCCCTCAGAGCTCACGAGCACCCTCCCTCCCCTTCCTGACCCTCGCTGGTGCCCAGCAGTGGGGGCTGCTCTCTGTTCCCTTTCTCAGTGCAGCCACAGGGTGGGTCTCGTTTTCTGACCATACTTGTCTGGTACAGCGTCCTTCTTCCCTTCATCCCCACTCTGCCTGGCTGCCATTCTCTTCTGGCCAGGTCTTCGCAGAGCCACATTGTGTCTGGTTCCCTGGGGAGGCTGCTGAGATCAGGGCTATCCTCATCAAAGAGGTTGAGGTAGGGGCACACAGAACTGGGGTTCCTTTTTTTTTTTTTTTGAGAGAGATTTTTGCTGTAGGGTGCGTGTGCTCACCAGAGAAACAGAGAGACAGAAAGTGAGAATTCACACCCCTGGGGAGATGGCCATGTTGCAATCTCTTCTACTCTATTCTCCTCTTAGGATTTTGGGCATGCATGCACATGTGCCCAGCTTGTTGGAAGCCACCAGGTCCGGGACTTGAACCATGGTTGACTATATGAGAGTCCAGTAATGTAACCATTATGCCATCTGCTGGTCCCTTGTTCAGCCTTTTAAAAAAAGAGAAAACACTGAGGCTGGCAGGTGGTATGGTGATTAAAGTGCTGGACTCCCACACGGCCAACTGCGCTTTGGGTCCTGGACCTGGTGGCTTGCTTTCTCACTTTCTTTCTCTGTCTGTCTCTCTCTCTGGTCAAATTTTAAAATAATAATAAATAAATAAACAATTCTTCTAAAAAAGAAAATATTTTGCGCACGAGAAGTAAGAGGAACCGGTGATACCCGTGCATTCTTGCCAAGAGAGGAGCCAGGCAATTCCTCACGAAGAGAAGACATCCCTACGCACCCCTCATCCACAGTTCCTTAGGCGAAGAGCTAAGCTGTCCACTGTCCTCACGGGCTCTCTCTGCTGCAGATCTGAAGCCCCGTGGCGTGGTGGTGAACATGATCCCCGGGCTGCCGGCTCACATCCTGTTCATGTGTGTGCGCTATGCAGACTCCCTGAATGACGCCGGTATGCTGAAGTCCCTCATGAACAGCGCCATTAATGGCATCAAGCAGGTGGTTAAGGTAGGAGCTGCCGTCGATGCTGCCCTTGCAACTGTGTCTACTCTAAGAACATCTGTGGGAATGGCCGATGCCTTCTCTAGCCTCTAGTCTTTGGTGAGCCAGGAGACCCCTCAAACCAGGTTAAGTCCAATTAGTGAAAGAAGCCAAGCTGTTAGGGGAAAATAAGCAGATGAAGATCTGCCAATAGACCTCAGTGTCTTAGCGAAAAGACTACCAACTGCTGGTCGTCACCCCACCACTTCTTCCCCCTAAGGTGTGAAATGACCAGGTATATGTTCTGTCAGCCCAATGAGTATGAATGAAGAGGACTGGGAAAGAATGAAACATCACTGATCTCTTCCCTTGGTGATCACAGTAATTCTCCCTCACAAGCCACATTGTGTCCTTTCATTCCCAGTCCAGAGATGAAAATGAGCTGTGTGTTAGGTTAGTTACTAGAAAGACTAAACAATTGTAGCTATGAAACACTTACTACCACCATCCCTAAATATATAGTGTCTGAAAGAAGACAAAGGTGTTTTGTTGCACATAGATTCCATAATGAGTCTTGCCAGTTGGAAGCTGGCTCTGCTCCACAAGGTCACGCAGTGACCCAGGTTCCATCCAGCTTGCTGTCTGCCATTCCCTAGGACACTGTCCTCCTTGAGATGATTGGACAAGGAGACAATCAGAGGTTTGTCACTGGGTGGGAGGAAACCCACCCTGGGACATAGATCGTGTATGTATAGTGTATATGAAGTCAGCAACTGATCACGTTATAAGCAAGCTCTTCATGGTGTGACGTGGACAATGAACGAAGATGACAAAGACCAAGAGCAGGGCTATTGAAGGCAGACGTTAAGAGGAAGATAAATTCATGGCTCATTTGCTTTCCAGTTAAAGCATAATCCTAAAACTGTTCTTGGCTTACTGATTTTTTTTTTTCATAGAAACTCAGTAAGTGATTAATGAGTAAATACTGTAACAAAGCGTCAAACGTTTTCCTAGCAGACCTGAGTCCCTATTCACAGGGGTGGTTGCTTTGTATACAGAGCTCTCTGGTAATTCTTGGCCAAACCTGAAATCTTGGGAGAGCCAGTTAGCAGAGTGTAGGTGGAGTGGTTGAGACAGCACAAAGCTAGACATTGTTCTGGTCTAGGTGTAGGAACTCTACCTATCACAGTAAATGGAGTTACTGTTTTCTCTTCCTCCAGGAAATGGCATCCAGTTTACAATTATATTAAAAAGTCCAAAGGCTCTGGGAGTTATAACATACTGACCCATGTGGGAAGGAAGCGGTAAAATCCAGATCTAGGAGCAACATTTGATACTGGGATATATTTTAAATTTTTGGTTGGGGAAAGGCCTACCTTACTTTTAGTAAAATATGTATTCTAGAAGAGTCATGAGGAATTAAATTCTATATGAAATACCCTAGAAAGAGCAAAGAATAAAAACAGTAGATGTATGAGAAGTCAGAGTATAGTAATTTTCCATTTCTCTCCCCAAAAATGGTACTAAGAGTTCATTATGAGTCTAGAGTTAGGAGTAGAAAATCAGCATTCATTGGTGCCAGATGCTTTATAATCATTGTCTTCAGAGGAGCCACCAGAGTATTTTGGGAAGGGGCATGTTTTCTCCATACGTATTTTCATAAGTTGTATTTCCTTTTTTGTAAAGAATTATTTTATTTATTTATTTATTTATTTATTTATTTATTTATTTATTATTATTATTATTATTTTAATTTGCTACAGGGCATGTGTGTGCATCAAAGAGAGAGAAAAATTGAGAAAGAAAACCACCAGGTCTGGGAATTGAACCATGGAGTCAGCCATATGGGAGTTCAATGTCTTAACTACCATGCCAACTGCTGGCCCAGTTGTGTTTTCTTTTTTAAAAAATGATTATTTATTGTATTTTATTTGTTATTATTATTTTTAAATTTGCTATAGGGTATACACACTCACCAGAGAGAGAGAGAAAGTGAGAAAGCAAGCCACCAGGTCCAGGACTCAAACCATTGTCAACCATGTGGGAGTCCAATGCCCCAACCACCATACCACCTGCTGGCCTGCAGTTGTGTTTTCCTAAAACAAGATTGTATTCTAGCCAGAAGCATACAGCATTTGCCTCATCTTGCTGCTTCTGGAATGTTTAGTTAAATATCTATAAACCAAAAAGATACATGAGGAGTATAAAACCCCTTTCTCACCAGCATCCCCAGCCTCAACTTCTCCATGCTTTCCTTCCCTGCTCCAACACATGGCATGTGAAATTGCTCCCCTCGCCCTCATACTCCGTTCAACCACCATTCCTTTTCCTCACCCCCCAACTGCCAAAGTGCTAAACTAGCAGTCTCCACCAATTCTCTTTGTTACTCCTTGCGATCTGGTTTCTATCCAGTCACTCTACTGAAAGATCACCACTAGTTCTTGCTTAATCCAAGGGCATTTCTTAAATGTTATTCTCCTTAAATTGACGGAAGCATGAGCTCCATCTCCTTAAAGCCCTCTCCCCCTGTCTTTTGAATGCCAGCCGTTCCCAGTTTTCCTCTCACCCTCTCTCATCACTGTACCTCTGCCTTCTTTGCTTGTTCTTCCTGCCCCGTAGCAAGGGTGTCCTCTCCGAGAGTCACTGACCCTGAGCTTTAGTCTTTCCACGCCTTCCCTTCACGGAGAGGATTCTCCCGCCTCTCTCATGCAGTTTACTCAGCTGCCCTGGCACCTCAGGGTTGCACCATCTCCTATGCTTTCCTAGCAGTCTATGCCAAGCATGTGGGCACTGACCACCTATCTGTCTGCGTCCTGCATATGCCACATCTGCCTTCCCAGCCAGGATAGGAGCTGCACAGAGCAACAACCAAGGCCGCATCTGTGTGACGTTCAAGTTTCATAACGAGGGACATGCCCTGAATAGAGATAGGTTGAAGCTGTAACCTACTTATATAAATATAAGCTCTGATCATTAGAGTATACACTTGATAAAGATTTTTGTGAATACAAAAAATTAGCTTGGGTCAAAGACCACAGGCTAACCAAACAGGTAAGATACGTCTATGGTTGGCTCAGAGCCATGGACAGTCAAGTCCAATGTTATCTTTTCTTATTTTAAAGGAACATTTAGAAGACTTCGAGATGCTGTCCTTTTGGCTTTCCAATACTTGTCACTTCCTCAACTGCCTGAAGCAGTACAGTGGAGAAGAGGTAGGCTACTCACCTGCTTGGTGTGCTATGCCAGCTGCAGGCCTGTCACCTCCTCCTGAGTCAGCATTCACCAGAGGAGTTAGGAATGGGGACACCCGGCTCCAGGGACAGCCTCTGTTCCAATTGGCCTTTGACTTTCTCTTGACCCAGGAGGCCAACCCCATGTCATCTGTAGGACTCCTGGGTATACACCACAGGCAGGAAACTTCTAGAAGAAACTTAGGCCTTGGGCATGGTAGTAGGCCTTAGTTTCCTTTACTCTTAATAGGTAGATTAGATGGACTTTAAGTTTCTTTTAAAGTGTTCTTCTGGTTGTGAAATATTTAGTGTTTTGATTCTAAAATATAGTTTTAGTTCCACATGCCTGTTTCTTTATAAGGTTCTTCTTATTCCTCCATCATCCATAAATATACTTCTTACTGCTTCCAGGGGGGCTGAGGTCACAAGAGTTCTCCCTCTTCAAGTTCTCACAGAGAAAATTTTTGTTGAACTGAAATAACAAGGTAGTTTTAAGGTTTTCAATGTTCTCCAAAATGGTTGTCATATTTTGTAATCCCACCAACAGTATATGAGGTTTCCAGTGTCTCATACCCTCACCAACACTCTGTATTGGTAGACATTTTATTACTTACCGGTCTCACGGGTATAAAACAACACTTTGACACAAATTACATTGACTCGCTCATAATGAAATCAAGCATTATACGTGGTTATTGGTCATCTACGTTGCCTTATCATATTGCTTAGTCATATCCTTTCTCTCTCTTTCTTAGGGTTGATACTTTTTTCTCATAGATTTGCAAGAGATCTTTACATATTATGGATAGGTTGTGGTTTGTCTTCTAGTTTTCTTTATTGAGTCTTTTGTCATACACAGTTTTTGAATTTTGATATGTTTAAACCTAGTAGTTCTGTTCTTTAACGATTTAGGTCTTTGTGTCTTATTTGAAAAATTCTTCCCTACCCTAAGATCATGAAGATATTTTCTTCTAAACTTTCATGGTTCACACTTAGAGTTCACAATTATATTTTTACCTATCTAAAATGGGTAAATAAATAATTTATTTATCTCAAGTTGATGTATGAGTTAGTCTCAAATCTTCTTCTGTATAGCTAGAATATAGTTGTCTCAAAGGAGAGAAGGTGAAGTAAAATATAAAAGTAACCTAGGTGGGGAGGGCAGCCTTATAGCACAGTGGTTAAGTGCTATGTATCGGGAGTTGGATCCCTCATGGCTGACTGTGGTGCAGATCCCTGGTGGGATTTGAAAAACATGCCAAGCAAAGATGATCCAACCTCTTCCTAAAAGTGTGGGGGAGGGGCACAGACCTGTCCATTTAAGACAAACATCATCTGTGAGACCTTAATGAGAGAGGATATTACTCAACACCACTTATGTTCTGATCTTTTCTTTGCCCACTTTAGCTATGCAGAGTATGTTCTTTTGCCTGAGTATTTTTCAGTTACTATATTTTTATTTCTTATTTATTTATTTTAGTTTTCTAGCATGTGTGTGCTCACCAGAGACAGACAGAGAGAGAGAAGGAAAGTGAGAAATCACCTCCCACCCCAGGACTGGCCATCCCGCAGTCCCTTCTCTTGCATTCTCCTGTCAGGACTGTGGGCATGGACGTGCCCGCACCCAGCATGTATTTCAAGCCACGAGGTCTAAGACTCATACTCTCCAGTCGACCATGCCGGATCCAGCTGCCTCACCCTCCAGAACACTTGCTGACCCGTCATTTCTAAAATGTTTATGGTTCTTTGTCACCTCCATCTCTTATCTAGTGTTGTATTCTTTGTTCTGCTTTTTCTTTGATCCCTTTGAACACCTTCCTGTATTAGTTTTCTCAGGCTAATATAACAGAGTGCACCAAGTGAGTGGCATAAGCAAGATTAATTTTCTCACAGTTGTGAAGTTGTTTCCTGGTGAGGGTTGTCTTCCTGGCTGGCAGATGTGTGTGTTCCCATGTCCGTCCTGGGTGGTGAGGAGTGAGGAGAGAACGAATAGGAGAGCACACTCTCTCTGCTGTGTCTTCTCACAAGGACACTAATCCTATCAGATCAGGGCTCCACCCTCATGACCTCATTTAACCTTAATTACTTCTTTAGCGGTCCTATCACTAAATACAGCCATTGGAGGAGGGACAGGGTTTCAACATATAAATTTGAAAGGAAGAGCACAAACATTTGATCCACATATTTTTAAATACTTCAGTTCAGTTTGTATCTTGTAACTTACGAGGTTATGAATCTCATTCAGTACAGCGGCCAAACTTTTATATCAGATTGTTTCCTCGGGTCTCTGCAGTTTTCCCTATGCACTTCCATGGGAGTTTTTTTCCACTTGGTGTGTAGACTGCAGGGATACATATCTAGGGGAATAGGCAGTGGCGGTTAGTACATGTGGTGGTCTGAGATGGTACAGAAGAGCAATGGTATTTTTTCTTATTGGCAGTAAATGCTTCCCTATACATCAAGGACTCATTTGATGTTAAGATAAAGTGCAAAAGTTTTGGTAGAAGCTGATTATAATGACACTAGTATATATAGTATTTTAATTTCATGTATATCTATATTATTCTAATATTTATATGTTCAAAATTACTTTCAGGAATTCATGAAGCATAACAGTCCACATCAGAATAAGAACTGCTTAAATAATTTCGACCTTTCAGAATACAGACAGATTCTCAGTGATGTGGCTATACGGATATACCACCAGTTCATTATCGTAACGGAAAATAGCATCCAGCCCATCATAGGTAAGAAGAGAATTAATGACCAAAAATACTCACAGTAACAAGGAGACTTTTGAAGCCATAAACTTGGGGATGTGGAATGCGTGGTTATGAATAACATAGTTTAAAAAGCCAAACTGTAATTATGTAAATGTCTACCTCTTAATTCTTTGCTTGCTTAAAATTATTTCAGAAATAAAAGTACATGGTTAGTAGATTTCTTTCTGCAGGGTGCTTCATCCTGAAGGAAAAAATGTGGGATAACTTCTTTTTTCCTTTTTTTTGAAAAGAATTATTTTATTATAATAATACATTATTTTATTTACTTATTTTAATTTTATTTAAATTTATTTTTATTGTTATTTTTATTATTTTTCTTTCTGCAAGAATGCTTCATCCTGAAGGAAAAAACTTGAGATAACTTCTTTTTTTAAAAAAAAAAAAAGAATTACTTGTTTAATTTTATGTATTATTATTATTATTTACTTGACCAGAAAGAGACAGAGAGAGGGAGGGAGGGAAAGTGAGAAAGCAAGCCGTCTGGCTTGGGATTCAAACCACAGTTGGCCCTATGAGAGTCCAGTGCCCTCACCACTGTGCCACCTGGTGGCCTTGGGATAGGTTCTGGTCATGTGGTACTTCTACGTATGTGGCTATGCTTGGAGCCTAGCCAAGTATTCTGAAATCCTGAGGTCATTCAAATTGTTGCATACTTTGCTCGATTTCTGAAATATAAATACCCCCCACAGTCAGTGGCTCTAGACCATGAGTCCTCTGCTAACCAGCTCTTTCCTGTGCGGTCGAAAGAAGAGCCACCCAGGGCTAGAGCCGAGCCACTGCCCTGTTTCTTTAAACAGCCATTCTGCCCCACCCCACCCCGACACACCTCCATGCTCCCAATTCCTTGATCCTTTTGCTTTATATCCACTGACGTGTGTAGAAAATGCCTTTCTCCTGAAACACACATGAGAGCAGTGGGCAGTGTCCTCTGGCTGTGGCCCCTGTGTGTGCAACATGAGCCTCCACCTCCTTCACAGTGCCAGGCATGCTGGAGTATGAGAGTCTGCAGGGCATTTCCGGCCTGAAGCCCACAGGCTTCCGGAAGCGGTCCTCCAGCATAGACGACACGGACGCCTACACGATGACCTCTGTGCTGCAGCAGCTGAGCTACTTCTACAGCACCATGTGCCAGAATGGCCTAGACCCCGAGATCGTGCGGCAGGCGGTGAAGCAGCTCTTCTTCTTGATCGGGGCGGTCACCCTGAACAGCCTCTTCCTGCGCAAGGACATGTGCTCCTGCAGAAAGGGGATGCAGATCAGGTAAAACCCATGGCCACCTCCCACCCGGCAAGGCCACAGGAGGGTGCTCTGCGAGTCCCAGTCGAACATGCTGGCCCCCGCTGGGCGGTGCCACCGGTGGGTGGGCAAGATGACTCCTGGGGCCATGGAGGTGCTGGACATCTCCCATCAGGCCACAGACTTTAGCTTGATGCCCTGACCTGGTGGCTTTATCTGAGAGCTAGTGAGTGTATATTTTAACCTCTGACCCCCTACACTTATCATACTCAACCAGTATTGCCCACCTTCTCTGGAAATAATGCTGGGGTGGGGGTAGGGGCAAACTAGGAAAAGTCCATGAGATTCCTGTCCTTGTTTAGCTCAAAGTAGCTAAATTCAAGGCAATTATGATTAAGTCCCAAACAAATGGCACAGAAAGTGCTTTCGAGAAAAGACATTATTGTAGACAGCAGAGTTGCGGAAGCCAGAGAATTGTGCACTGAGTGATACAGACAAGGGAGATCCTTCTGGGCAGGGGCAATGAGATGGGCAAAGTCTTCCTGGTGGGACTAAGCAAGTTCCCCTGCTCGGGCTCCATCTGAATTAAGCAGAAGTTTGTCTTGGGAGCAGCAGGACCCAGGTAGCGAGGTAGGAAGGATCCGGAGCAGGAGGGTCTGAAATGCCAGGCTGAGGAGTTTGGCGTTCATCCTGAAGACAAGGTCATCACAGGGGTGAGGTATGTCAGTTCTTTATGTCTAAGTTAAGGAAACAAGGACCCTAAGATGAGTTTGAATCAAAATCGTTCAAGTAATTAGAAAACATATAAAATAGATATTTTATATATATTTTTTATATTTATATTTTTATATATAAAATATACTTGTATATGCTCAGACACATGTACATATGTATATACACACACACACATATATATATATTCCTGTATATAATTTAAGAATTGGGGTGGTGATAATAGTAATGATGTAAGGGAAGGTAAGAAAGTACCATTTTTAAACAAATAAATAAATACGAGTCATCCTTTTTTTCGGCACTCTCACTTCATCAGTGGGTCCCCCAAGACTGCATAGGGACACGAACAAGATACAGCTCTAGGTCTCAGAACAGCACTTCGAGGATGAGCAAATGTTTGCCCCTCGAGGTGCTCAACGCTCTTTTCCTTTCACCGAAGGCAAGTGGCCACCAGAGAAGTCATGCCTTTACAGAGCTCTGCTCTGAGTAGCACATGCATCGTAGAAGCATTCATTCATTCGTTTATTTATTCAGATATTTATTAAGCCCCTGCCATAAGCAAGGCCTCTAGAAGACCGGAGGTGCTTTACAATGAGATATGAGCAAAAAATGACAGAACATACACACAAGAAGGAAGTTAGGACCAACGGAAAGAAAAGTGTATAAGCAATGGGCAGATTGAAAACTGGCGCTGGGCTTTCTGGCTGCCAGGATGAAAAGCGAAACATGCTCACTGGTTTGGTTTTATCTAGAATGCTGAGGCAGACCAGTTCCTGGGAAGATATAAAGACGTCCTAGTATCTAATTCTTTGTGTTTCTACTGGTGAATTACACAAATAATGCCATACCTTCTCACCGTCACCGTGATGGCGTTTTTACAGCAAGTTTCCTCATGGCTGCTTTGCCCATGATCTTTGATAAAAAGCCCAGGGAGGGCTCCCAGAGACGGTTCAGTTAGGGGTTAAATAATGTGGCCCAAGTGACTACAGTGCTTTCTAACCGAAGGGAATTTCAAATATGAAAAGCACTGGTTTAGATCTTGAAGGAGAGGTAGGATTTTCAAGAATTAATCGGAATGAAAAGGCATCTCTGAGCCTGCCAAGTAGGTACCATGAGCAAAGCTCACCCTCCGGAGTTGAAAAATTTGTGGACAAGAAGTTTCATTGAAATTAAATGGTGGCAGACATGCCCAAGGAATATTGCGGGGATTTGATTCATTTATGAATTTTGCGATAGATGAATGCGTAAAGATGGCGACTAGTGAGCAACAGAGTAATACTGGAATGAAGGTAATACGAGAAAATATGATCATCGTGTTGGAAGTCTTGGAACGAGTATAAATAATGGCTGTTAAACAGAAAAATCCATGTCCCCAATCCAATGGGCCTGTTTTACTCTGATATAAAAATCAGGTCATATACATTGTTCATAATAAACTTTTTGTTAAGTAAAAGAAAAAATGAAAAGAATCACAGGAATGAGTATAAACTGAAATGAAGGGAAACTAAAGGCAGTGTATGAACAGCCCCTCAGAACAGAGCACACCAGGAATGATGTAAGAACCTAAGAAGACTTATTAGAGAGAGTGCCGTGGAGCTAGGTGGTAGCACAGTGGGAACACAGCTGAGCCCACGTGGGAAAGGTCCGGAGTTCACGTCTTCGGACCTTCTGAGGCTGGGGGTGAACCCTAGCTTGGGGACCCTATTGAAGTGCTATCTCTCTCTTTTTCTCTCTGAAGAAATAAATAATTTTTTAAAAAGGAAAGAAAAGAGTGGCGAGAAATGTACGCTTTAGTCCATCAGCAATAACAGCTTCCACAGAAGTTTTTCTATTTCACGAAGCTTTAAAGTGTGAGTTTGGTTTCTTTAACAGCAGCAGGACTATTCAGGGGATCTATTTCATTTTAGCGCTTTCGGTAGTTTGTGATGTTCAAAGAATTGGTCTGTTCCATCCGAGTTGTTGGGTTTGTGTGTGTAGAATTGTTCATATTTCTTCACTATCCTTTTCATTTCTGTAGCATCTGTACTGATAATGCCATTTTCCACTCCTGATACTGGTAACTCCCTGTCTCCTCTTTTTCCCTTGTCAGTTTTGCTAGAGGTTTTATTCAATGTTATTGATCTTTTCAAAGAACCAGTTTTGGTTTTACTGATTTTTCTCTGTTTTGGATTTTTAATTTCATTGATTCTGAAATCACTTTTATTATTCCATTCCTTCTGCTTACTTTGGATTTCTTTTGCTCTTCTTTATCTGGTGTCTGTAAGTAGAAGTTTTGATGATTGACTTTAAGACCTATCTTCTTTTTTCTCTTCTCTCTCTCTCTCTCTCTCTTTTTAAGTTTATTCATTTCTTTTTTCTATGACTGAGAAAGACAGAAAGAGAATGCAACTGAGACAGGTAACCCCAACAGGGTCCCCACACTGTGATCCACCTGGAGCATCAGTCTGCCCCGGATCATGGACACACACCAGGCACATTCAGAGAGGTCTGTGGATACGAACCTAGAACCCTCCCATGGAGATCAGCTCACAGACCTGTTGCATTTCTGCTCACTACCATCCAGCCCCAGGATCTTTCTGTTTCCTAACATAAGCATTTAATGCTGTAAATTTCCCTCTATGTACTACTTTAGCTCTATTCCACAAATTTGGATATGTTGTATTTTCATTTTTGTTCAGTTCAAAATATTTTTTTAATTTCTTACACAGTTTACTTTTTGACCTGTGGATTATTTAGAAGTATATTGTTTAATTTCCAAGTGTTTGGAGACTTTCTTGTTATTATTCTGTTATTGATTTTTAGTTTAATTGTTATGGTCACAGAACATACTTTGTCAATCAAACTCTTATTTTTAATTGCTTGAGGGTGTGCACTCACCAGAGAGAGATGGGGTTGGGAGAGAAAGCATCCCTCAATGGAGTGTGATCACAATGTGATTCCATTATTGTATTTCCTTTCTCTACTTCTCTGTCCTGGTGGGATGTGGGGCAAGTGCACTCACACACCCAGTATGTTTTCAAGCCTCTGGGGCTGGGATTCAAACCTAGGTCAGCCACCTAGGATCTGGTTCCCTTAACTACTAGGCTATGGGCTGGCCAGTCAGTCACACTCTTAGACACAGAAAATAGAATGGTGGTTCACAGAGGCTGAGGGGATTGACGAAAGGGGAGCTGTTGTTCTGTGGGTATAGAGTTTTGGTTTCATAAGGTGAAAAAGTTTGGGAGATCCATTGTAGAGCAATGCACTTATAGTTAATGCTTAGATTATAACTTTAAAATGGTTAAGCTGGCTAATTTTATGTTAGTTATTTCTTGAAGAGTCTCCTTGAGTCAGAACCAACAGCCTCCACCTAGAGTACTTGTTTGGCATCAGTGCCCACAAGTTCTGAGTTCTGGGCTGTGTTGAGCTCAGGTCTAGTGAGTGAGTAGCAGAAGGAAAAATGCTAAACTCACTATTGATTTAGAAATATTTCAAATTCTTGGGGACCAGCAGGTGGCATGGTGGTTAAGGTGCTGGATAGTCCCACATGGCAGAACACAGTTCGAGTCCCAGACCTGGTGGCTTGTTTTCTCACTTACCCTCTCTCTCTTTATCTCTCTCTCTCTGGTCAAATTAAAATAAATGAATGAATGAATAAAATTAAATAAATAAGTCATAAAAAAAAGAAGTACATAAAATTCTTGTTCTCTTCACCAATACACCTGCTATGGTTTACTTTGAAGGGTCCTTGGTTAGCTGCCCCATGCAGTCTGTCCAGGTTTCATGACTGTGCCCATTTAGTGGGAGAGATGGGGGAGGGCACTGTCTCCATCTCACCAAGAACCAGATCTCCATGCATTTGTGAGTGGAAGCTGAACGAAAGATGAACGTGCTCAACATCCAGATTTAGGAAGAATCAGGGCAGGATTGAAGAAGGAGATTAGAAGGGGTGAGATAGGAGGCCCATTCCAAGCATATTTAATACAATTAAAAGTATTAAGAATTCAGGCAAGTAAAAAGTGACAATGCAAAGAAAGTGCAATTCAAAGAAAGAGGGCTGGACAAGTATGCAAGAGATGTTATCTCACACTGATTACCTTTGTGGAGTATAATAATTGAGCATTTCCACCCAGTGTTGTAACCAGAGAGAAGATCCATGTAGTGGGTGGTGAATCTGGAAAGTCAGAGCTGGAACTGACCATAAAAATTATCCAGTTTGGGACCACCAGATGATGTAAATGATTATGTCATGGATTCTCATGTAGTCAACCACAGTTCGAGTCCTGGACCCAGCAACTTAAAACTCATACTAGGCGCATGTGTGTGTATGCCCAAAATCCCAAGAGGAGAATGGAGGAGAGGTGATTGTGGTGTGGCCATCCTCCTGGGGGATGATTTCTCACTTTCTGTCTCTCTGTTTCTCCAGTGAGTGCGTGCACTCTATAGTAAAAATCTCTTTAAGAAAAAATAAAAAGAAAGGAAGAAATCACCTAGTTTAACATTCATTTTTTTTGCAGCTTTATTGACATATGATTTATATATCATAAAGTTCCTCCATTTAAAGTGAATGATTCAATGGCTTTGGGTATCTTTACAGGGTTGCATGACCATGACCATAATATAATGTAGAAACATGTTCATCCCTCCAAAAAGAAACCTTATACCCACTAACAGCCATTCTCATCCCTCATTCCCGACTTCGTACCTCCCATCCTAACCCACCACTAATATATTGACTTCCTTTCTCTATAGATTTGCCTATTCTGGACATTTTTAAATAAAAGAAATACTCAGGAGAAGTGAAAACGTGATGGATGGGTAAACAAGTTATGGTATATCCATTCAACAGAATATAACATCCATCTACCAGCTGATGGACACTTGGGTTGGGTTCACTTTGGGCGATATTACAGATAACTGAATAGTGCTGCTCTGAGCTTCTGTGTACAAGTGTTTGTATAGGTCCATTTTCAGCTTTTTGAGTACATTTCTAGGAGGGGAATTGCTGTGTCATAAGTAACTCTGTGTTTCATTTTGAGAAACTACTGAACTGTTTTCCTCAGCAGCCGTACCATTTTACATCCCCACTCGCAATGTAGGAGGGTTCTCATCACCCTCGTTGTACCCACAAAGACCGATTGACTTTTCAAGCACATACAATGAATAAGTGGGGCACAACCGACGCCTGTCATCTCATAAGCCTGTGATAATTAGTGACAGACCAAGAAAAAAAAAAAACTGACTGAAAGAAAACCTTCTACCAACTGAAAACTTTCTGCCAATTCAAGGGAAAACGGCATTTTTTAATATCTATCGTAGGTCTTCTGTTCAAAGATCACTTTTTCCCCCTTTCATAGATTTTCAAAATTCGACTTTAAAAGTTATTGCAATCACTGTTCTTTGCTCACATTTTCCTCTAAGTACATAGCTGTTCCGACTCCTTACCCTGGACCACCCTGATCTTAGAACTCTACTGATCACTGGCTCAAGCCCCTCATCTTGCACGGGAGAAACCCCTGGCCTGTGGTCCTGAGGCCCCAGTGAGCTCTGGTATCCTCTCAGGGCATGCCAGAGGTTTGACCTCCTTCCGTAATGTGCTCTTTGCCTCTGGCTTTCACTCCAGGTGCAACATCAGCTACTTGGAAGAATGGCTTAAAGATAAGAATTTGCAGAACAGCTTAGCCAAGGAAACGTTGGAGCCTCTCTCTCAGGCGGCCTGGTTACTTCAGGTCAAGAAGACCACAGACAGCGACGCCAAGGAGATCTCCGAGCGCTGCACCTCCCTGTCCGCTGTGCAGGTGACCAGGCTTGTTCAGTGTCTCCCTGAATCTGCGTAATTGGCATCACCTTTCCTGGCCGAACTGGCTACAGGCACCCCTGACTCTGGGCTCTGTGGGGAGCATACTTGTTTCCCATGGCCCACCCTTTTATCTAATAAGGATTTATTAAATACAGTTCCCTTGGGATCAGCAGATGGCATAATGGTTATGCTGCTGGATTTCCACATGGCCAATCACTGTTTGAGTCCCAGACCCGGTGGCTTGAAATTCATGCCGGGCACGTGTGTGTGTGTGTGCCCAAGATCCTGATAGGTGAACAGAGGAAGAGGGGATTGTGGTGTGGCCATTCCTCCCTGGGAGATGACTTTTCACTTTCTTCTCTCTGTCTCTCTCTGTCTGGCGAGCACATGCACCCTATAGCAAAAATCTCTTTTTTAAAAAAATACTATTCCCTCTAGGCCTTAAAGACACAAAAACATGTATGATGTAGTCCCTGCCTACTTAACTCACAGACATGTATGTGTGTGGGATGGCCGAGCAAGGGGCTGGGAGGTTAGGTGCGGAGAGTTGTCCTGTGGTCATCTAATTCTTTCATTTATCTTTGTTCCTTCCTTTTTTTACACTTTAATAGTTTGATCTAGGATACTTGCCCTCACCAGAGACAGAGAGGGAATGTGAGAAATCACCCTCATGGGGGATGGCCACACCACAGTCCCCCCTTTCCCGTACTCCTCTTGGGATTTGGGGCATGCAGGCACACACTCCCAGGGTGTTCTCCAAGCTGCTGGGTCCAGGATGCAAACTGCATAGTCGGCCATGTGCGATCCAGCCATCTTAACCTCCACACCAGCTGCTGGCTCCTGGCTTAGCTCCTTTCTATTCTCTTCTCCCTTTATTTTCTCTTTCTTTGGAACTAGGTAACTCAGGGTTCCTAGAGCCAGGTTACAGGATAAAAGAGCTACTCGCGATTCTCACATCGCCCGGACCGTTATTGCATGAGCAGAGTTGCTCTTCTTGATGTCCTAACACCGTGTTATGTAATGTTTGCAGATCATAAAGATCCTTAATTCATACACACCCATTGACGACTTCGAGAAAAGGGTGACTCCGTCTTTTGTTCGCAAAGTGCAGGTGAGATCCTTTAGGACATGCCTTTTAGTTTTACCTCCTAGGTGGTATAAGACACTGATGTTTAACTCGTGTTCTAGAAGTTCAGGGTTCAAGTACATTGATCAGATGTGCACATGGATGGCTCCCTGCTCAAAGGCACCAGAAATTCTCCCCAGTTTCCAGAACCCATTGCAATGTAGGGAGGATGGAATGAGATCAACAAGACCATGATTCACATGCTGTGTTCCTTTAGCATATCTCTTTTCTTTTTATTAAAAAGAATTATTTATTTAATTATATTTATTATTATTATTATTTCTGTTGCCTGTGCACTCACCAGAGAGAGAGAGAGAGTGAGAAAGCAAGCCATCAGGTCCAGGATTTGAACCATGGTCGGCCATGTGGGAGTCCAGCACCTTAATCACTACACCACCTGCTGGCCCGTGGCATATCTCATTTCTTATTAGTCTGGGAGTCCCTGCAAATGGGCAGAGGCTGAATGGAAGCAAAGACCCTCATGTCCATTTGTTATTTTTCTTCTAGAGTTCTAAAGTTTTTCCTCCAGTTATTGAGGGCAGCAGTTCTGAGTGTGTTGCGCAAGGATCCCTGGGGCCCTTGAGACCCTTGCAGTGTTTTTAAATATAAATATGTGTGAGACAGGATTTTCTTCATATACATCAACCAAAATAACAGATCATATCCGATAAAATGCAGCAGCTGATATGGTACCTTGTATTTAAGTTTTAATATTAAGTCAGACATAGGAGAAAGTTACAAAAATATAAAGTAATACCACTTCTCACTCAATCATTTTGGAAAATACAGTTATTTTTTAATGAGACTGTTACATGTAACAAGTATTAGGTTGGTTATGTTAATGAGTTAATAAATATTTTAAATTATTGTTTTGATTGCTGAAATGGGAAACATGAACAGTTAGACCCACATTCCCAAAAGCTCTTTGGGGTCCTCACTAACTTTTAAGAGAATGACAGTTCCTGACACAAAATATTAGTTTATAAGCCACCAAGTAAAGAAGAAAGATGGGTTCGATGAAAATGTGACACTTGAGATCTGCTCATGTTTGGGCTCAGAATTATGCCATGCGAATAGAAGGGACTGGAAAGCAGGTTTCCAGGTGGTCCGTTCTGTGGGCCTTTAACTTCAGAAGTGAAACAGAGCGAGTTAGTGCTGCTGGGCTGATCCGGCACCCTGGGCAGGCTGATTCCCCTGGGAGCCCTGTGTGTCGCCTCACCTGGTTTTGAAAGGCGTTCCCCACGGGAGAGAGGGGCTTGTTTCCCTGGCACTCGGCTTCAGGTAGCGGGAAAGCAGACACTCTGGTCTCCTTACTCATTTCCCCTATGGTTCTAATTGCAGGCTCTCCTAAGCAGCCGGGAGGACTCGTCTCAGCTGCTGTTGGATACCAAATATCTCTTTCAAGTCACATTTCCGTTCACGCCCTCTCCACACGCTCTGGAAATGATCCAGATCCCCAGCAGTTTCAAGCTAGGCTTTCTCAATAGGTTATAGCTGGAGAAGTCAGTCCCTGTCCTCAGAAGCTAAGCAAAGGTCAGACGTGAAGGATGCAGTTTACGAATTGGAACTGGAAGTACTCTGGAACGTGACTTGAGGGGGAAAACATACAACCCTCCCAAATGGGCCACATGGCTGTCACGGAAAGCGCCCAGCTGCTGTAACTTTGTAAGAATGAGCACACCAGCTGTGGTGACAAGGCCATGGCTAGCTTTTTGATCAGAATTCCTGCAAGGCCCACACTTTCTTTCCAGTGTCTCTCGTTCTATTCTTCTTGTGACAGGACTCCCCTGGGAGGAAGGGAGATCTGGGGACACAGTAGCTCCAAGTTTGCGAAGGTTCCTGTGAAGTCCGGATACATTTATGAAGCCCCAAGTGAGTTCCGGAGCTAAGTCTTCTGGGAACCAGCACCCCATGACCACCAGGGCTAACCAGATGTGTCCTCTTGCCCCATGACTGCTGGTGGGCCGGGGGTGTGGCCCCCTGACTTTTTTTTCACTAAAAATATTCATGCATTAAAAATATTTATTTCAGACCCCTTTAATTTTTAAGGAACTATCCAATCTGAAATGAACTACGTGAAGTATTTCTATGTACATAGCTATTTAAAATCACTATATTACTATATTGTTAATACGTCATTGTCATGCCAGGTGTCATCTGCTCCCCTGATGGAACATTTTTTTTACATTTTATCCACTACTATGTTTGCCAAAATTTTTCTTTGTTTAGTCATCTTTCATACAATAACACTTATTTTAAAAGCAAGGTTTAAAAAGCAGCCGACGCAATTTTTTTCTAATCAGCATTCCAATATATATATTTTTTCATTTTCTCATAAAAGTAACGGAACAATTATGTCAGTTCCTCCTTCTGAGAAATCTGCGGTTCCCATGCTTTAGGGGAAGCGCCTATGTCCTGGCCCCAGACTTTCTCACTCTTCCTTTCAGAGCGTCAGTCATTTGCTGAGGCTCAGGGCCGCGGGCCTGTGAGTCCACCACTTCTCTGCACCGCCCCACGAATCCCCACCCTTGGGTTTCTGAAAGTCACAGGCAACAGCTGGGATCCTGTCCTGTCCTGCAGACGTAGATCTCAGGACCGGAGATAAATGATTACAAAGCAACATCCCCCTACCACTAGGCAATTATGTCTCTTCATAGTACTAGTGATTTAGTTTAGTTCATTTCAAATACACTTATTTTTTAAAATGAAAAGTAGAATTTTGTAATACTTGCATCAATAAAATAAATTACCAAATGAATTGGGCCTTTTTTTTAAGTTTATTTTTTTCATGAGAGAGAATAAAGTAACCTCAACAGGGTCTTCGAGCAGGGATTCCACCCACCTCCCCCCCAGGCCTTTCAGCCAGCCAGGATCACAGGACGCATGTGTGCACACCCCTACGTGTCCAGGCTGACGTGGGAGCCAGATCCAACCTTCCACATGGCCTCCAGCATCGGAGCGCCTCGCATTACTTCTGCGTCCCTGTGGCTGGGCAAGGTTCATCCTGTGAATTGCTGGGAGAGTACATGTCTATTACATATATAAATCCTGTGCCATTTAAAAAAAAAAAAGTTCTACTGAAAGCAGCTAGAATCTTTTTTTAAAAGAATTATTTAATTTTATTTATCTTTTTTTTTTTTTTTGGAGAGGTTTTCGCTATAGGGTGCGTGCGCTTGCCAGACAGAGACATAGAAACAGAAAGTGAGAAATCACCCCCCAGGGGGGTATGGCCACGCCTCAATCCCTTCTCCTCCATTCTCCTCTAGGGATCTTGGGCACGCATGCACACGCGCCCCGTTTGAGTTTTAAGCCACCGGGTCCAGGACGTGAACTGTGATCGACTATGTGGGAGTCCAGTGACATAGCCATTACGCTAACTGTTGGTTCCCTTATCTATCATTATTCTTCTTCAGTTTAACCAGAGAGAGAGAGCTAAAGCAAGCCGCCAAGTCTAGGACTCAAACCACGGTCGGCCATGTGGGAGTCCAGCACCTTAACTACCATGCCACCTGCTGGCCTCAGCAGCTAGAATCTTTATAGATTCATAATATTTATTTTTCTGATTTTCTTTTTAATTTGCCAAACCTAAAAAGGCACTTGCACTTGCCAGAGACAGAAAGACAAAGAGAGTTGTGTGAGAAATCACCCCCCAGGGGAAATGGCCATGTTGCAATCACCTCCTCCATTCTCCTCTCTGGATTCTGGGCATGCATGCACATGCTCCTGGCATGTTTTTCAAGCCACCAGGTCCAGGACTTGAACTACATAGCTGACCATGTGGGATCTAGCTGCCTTAACCTCCATGCCACCTGCTGATTCATAATATTTCCTTTCTAATATGAAAAATGTTGACCCAGTGCCAGCAGGGATCTGGGAAAACCTGTACACTTGGACACGGTGAGACCACCTGGCAGGCAGTCTGCTGATAAGTGCTAAGCATCACAAGCATATTTATACCCTCTGACCCTGCAAACACAGGAGCTTGTCTTCTTTAGCTGTTCTACAGCTAAAGAAGAATTTTAAATGCCCACAGAGATTCATCTCAGTGTTACTAATAACACTAACGAAAATAACTGCAGGGCTTCAATCATAGTAAATAAGGGGGTACTTTTTAAAGTGAGAGTATGGGTAAAGAGAATACCAGCATACAAGTTCTGTGTTCCTACTACTCGGTGGCTAAGCGAAGTGGTCGGTAGCCAGGAGCTTAAAGGCAGATGTCTTGTGTGTCCTGGCACCACTGGGTAGGTATTTTTCAATAGCTATCACACTACACCATGCTAGAATAACGTAATTCCACCATACAAAAAGCATCCATTAGGTAAGTGCCAGAAAGCAGTAAGACACACAACACAATGTAAATCCAGTTTAATTGTTTTTATTTATTCTGAATACTACTGTGAGTACACAATAAAGCCCAAATTTATAAACAAAATGATATAATTTTGCATGATTGGGAACACATTATGTAGTAGATACTAACCAACTGCAGGAAAGAGACAAAAATGAGAAAAAGAATTCCCCCAGACTAACACAGACCAAGAAAGAGGATTCCAGACACCGAACTGGTCATAATTCAGAGTGGTCATTAAACAGGGAGGTTGTTAAGTGAGGAGTGGTCATACTGTGCAGCCCTAAAAAAGCAACCATCATGAGGACTGCAGAAGAACATGGAAAATGTGTATTATTAATACCAGGTGAGGAATGCAGGACATGAAGTGGTATCTCTGCAACGATTGTACGTGTGAACATGTATGTGTGTCTGTGTATGAATTTGGAAACAAGAAGCCGGAATAAACATTACTGTGGGGGAGGGGAGTGTATAAAAATGTTTGGGTCCAGCCACAGCAGCTCATGCTGGACCCTGCTGCTTGGCAGGCTGAGACTTATTCTAGAAAAACACAAAGCTAGGCTGGTGACAAGCACTGTTAGTTCCAGCTTCTTGGGAGGCTGAGGCAGAAGGATCTGGACATAGTAAGGCTCTGCCTAAAAATAATACCTGTATTGCCAGTGCACTGCCCTGCAAGCGCTGCCCTACCCAGCTAGCTAGCCCTGCTCAGCTCCACACTGATTCAGGCTGGTGAGCCCTGAAGGCCTTGGCCTGGCTCGGTCGTGGCTAGGCTCAGCTCAGCTCCACACGCTGTGAGCTCTTAGAGGGAGGAAAGTGCCCTGTGAGTGTTCTCCATGGCATTACTGGCTCCAAGGGGGAGGAGGTGCTTCTAGGCTTTGCAAACCTACTAAAAGCTCTGTGAGCTCCCACTAAACTCAGCCAATAAACAGCATGACGACAGTACCTCACGTCTTTTTCCAACTCCCTGCATCTCTGTTTGACCCACCCTTCAGAAGAGAAAAGGACCTCTCAAAACCACATACACACACACACACACACACACACACACACACACACACAGTTTAGAGAAAGTAAACATCCCAAAGGTTGGCTCAGACTGTCTCCATGGGGCCCCAGACTGAGAGCGAGGCGTTTCTGGCAGAGTTGCTGAGTTTCTGATGCTCGGCTGTGGCCTTGGTGCCCTCTCTGGACCCTCCCCACACCATGAGGAGCCGGCTGTCTTCCCTCTCTGCTTGGGAGCACAGGATTCAGCCTGTTTTTATAGCACACGCGCTCAACTGCAAGGCACAACCTCTGTCTTCTGTGCTGGCTTGTGAGCCCCTGCAGGACGGGACCACACCGTGCTCCCCTGCATTTGTCCTGCTGCTGCTGGGATGGGAGGGAACTGAAGGAACAGAGTCCTATGTGGTGGCGGGGACTCGCGTATGTGGGGGGCAGGGGGGGAAGCAGGAAACCTTGGGAAAC